TTTTTTACTGTGTGAAGCAGCAGATTTCTCTCTGCAGCGCAGTGAGGGTGCAGGGGAGAGAACAAAGAGCAGCAGGCAGTGAGAATGTGACACCATCCCTTCCCACAGCGCTCTGGGCTGCAGCTCTGCTGGCTGGATGTTATTTTAGTGGCTGTGCCTCCCTCCCATGCTGTCCCAGGGCCCGGGAGCTGCGGCTCTGACGCCCGGTGAGCCCGAGGCTTATTCATGTTCAGGAATGGGAGGGTCAGGGCCATCGACACACACCAGCATCCTGCTGCCTATTATTTCCTGCCAGCCCTGGCGTTGCACCAAGCCCTAACATGACAGGTGGATGGAGTTCACAAGGAAATCATGTCATGGGCCAGTTTTCCAGGAAAGCTGTTAACTCTATTCACAAACCCAGGCCTTCAGATGGAAAGGGAACGTGGCTGAGAAGAGGCGGTGAAGGGCTGTTCTGCTGCTATTGATGTTTTTGTCCCAGATTATTCACTGACATCTCTTGCTGCAGCACAGAAATCTTTACCTCTGCACAGTGACTGTACCTTCAAGAGAAGATTGTGGCTGAATGCCTTTTAACTTAAAAAACCATGGGGACACTGCCTCTGCAAATCCCATGTGGGCATTTGATGTCAGTCAGGCTGCAAAAGATGGTAAAAGAATCTGCCTTTTGCTGAGCTAAATGCTTCCTGGGAAACAGAAAATAAATATGAGGTGAGGATCTAAGACCAATGTTAACCTGGGGATTTAAAATATTTTATAAGAATGAAACTGAGGATAAAGTCCAGGATGTATCAGAAACAAGACTTACATATTTTTAAAAGTCTCCAAGGCACATTTACTATCCTTCCATTACTCCATGCAGTGTCCAACATCTGCAGTTGTATGTTCTTCTCTTTCTTTCCTCTTTTTCTGTTTTTAAAATGTAGTAATTTTGATATTAGTATAGAAAGCACAGAAGAAGAGTTAAGAGGAAAGGCAATCAATGCAAAAGAAGTGTTTTTCAAAATTGCCATGTTTGCTACAAATGCAAATTTTAGGATGCACAAAGTCAGGACAATAGGACTCCGACTGGCTGCTCACAAGAGGAAGGATTAGGTCCTTTGTCATGTTAATAGTGACATCAACAACCTGAATAAAAGCCAAAAATTCAAGTTGATTTTGCAGTTTAAGACCATTGTTCTCCCACACGGTTTAGCCTGTAAGATATAGTCTACACACAGATTTCTGCCAGAATTGATAGTTTTCACATCATACAGTGCAGTTCTTGATATGTAATGTACTTCAATATATAAAAGCCCTTCATGACTGGATAATATTTACACTGATATAGCTAAAATGTCATACAAGCTAGAGGCAACAAAGGTATTGGAAATATAAAAGCAAAATAATATCTGTCAATGCTTAGAGGTACTGGTAATATTTATGCAAAATGATGGCTGCCAGTATTGTTCTGCTCTTCTTATTTTGCAGCCCATTGTAAAAACAAATTTGGTGAAACCTGCTAATGATATGCACCAACTTCCACCTCAGATATCAAAGGAGCAGTAACCCTGGATTTGACTCTGGATAAGCAAAGCTGAGGCAGGAACACGGGATATTCCAGAGGGTTTGTTCCTGGTCTGACTCTTCCGGATGCTGATGAGCCTCTCAGGCCTCTCTTCGTTCCACACTCCGAGCTGGTTCCTGTTCTCTGGAGCTGCAGTAACACTGCACATTTGGTGTTTGGTAACAGGAGCTCTCCCAAGTGTTCATGGCAGAGAAACTTAATTCTTGACACAAGTCCATGAAACTAACCTTTCTTTCTCTCTCTATTTTTTATTAACCTGGAAAATTATGGTGTTAGAGCCAGAGTCATGTACAAAACACAACACGTGAAATGACTGGAGAATTGTAAATTGGGCGTTTTGACTTGAACAAAATCTAAGCATTGTCATACCAATCTGATTATTATTTTAAAATACTGTCCCAGGCTATAACTGTCTTTGTGTACAATAGCAATACAGGGTGTAGTTACAGACACAATTTCCTGTGCTTAGGCTTTGCAATTATTATTTAAGATTACTGTAACATTTGCCCAGAGCACCAGCGCAATTCCTCTATTAGATAATTTTCTATCCTTGTGAGGGCAGTTTTGCTTGTGCAGTGCTGCCAGGGCTTTCAGGAAGGGATAGACAAGCAATTGTGACAATAAAATTTGCACCAGCTCCCACCCAGCCTCTCCCAGAACTGAAACACCATTTGTGGCATTCAAAGCCTTTTCACACCAGAAGGGAAGGTGTTTCTGAGCTGGAAAGTCACTTTGATCTCCACAGGGTTGCATCCTTCTGCTTCTCAGATTCCCATGAGAAACACCAAGCAGCAATCATGGAGTTCCAGTTGGCTTTGCATCAAAGACTTGGTGCACTGCAGCACCCAGCACCCAGGCATGAAACTCCAAATCAATCCAGATCAGGTCATGGGGCTCAAAATTTGAAGCAGAAATTTTGGTTGGGCTTTAAGAGCTGAAAAGGATGTGTTGTTCCTGGGTGTGTAGAGAGAGAGAGAGAGGATAATAATGAAAATATCTAAAAGAAATAGATTTGCAAGAAGAAAAAAGCACAGACTGTGAGACATGGGTAGGATGTCATCACTGGTCAGTCAGAAAAGATGCTACTACTGCTTCAGACTGGCCCAAAATCAATGCAAATAAATCATGGGAGAAAAGTCAGTTCCTAAGGCCATGTGAACACTTAGTGATGAAACCTTTGAAAACACCTTCAACAGCCTAAAAATCTCTGCCTGAACTGCTCACAACCTCTGCTTTGCTCCTGCAGGACACCAGGATCAGGTGCTGGGATTCTCCCTCATAAAATTACTGTTTTGCTCCTCTGACTGAAGGACAAACAAGCCTGACTTTGTGCACAGCCTTTCATTTGCTTCTTGGGATGAAGATGCTTGTGCATGCACCTCATCTCTGAAGGACACAGACGATGCCGCTGAGCTCAGCAGCCCCTCTCACCCAGAGGCCTCCCAGCCTGCCCAGTTAGGTGGTGCTCAGGAGACCAAGGTGTGCCTGAAGCTTTGCTGTGCCAGGGTCACATCCAGGGTCACTGCAATGTGTCTGTCCCTGCACACAGGCTGGGTAATGCCCAGGTGCTCACAATTAGCAAGGCAGAGGGTGGCCCAGGAACTCTGCTGTGTCCTTGCCTGTGCACTGCAAAATTCAAAGAGAGAAGAGATAAGGAAAGGGAAATCATCTCCAGTAGCAGCAGAGCAACTCTTACTCACTCCTATTTACCTTTCCTGAAAAAAAGCTGCTCCAAAACCCTCATCATTTCTATTCCACTGAGTTTGGCTTTTCTTTTTTGACTTGGAGCTGAGCCTCACCTTGTACCTCTACCTTCCTTTCACAGCAAGCTCAGCTGTATCACAGTGATGGCCAAAGGAGAACCCATGTGTGGGAAAGACTTCTGGAGAGGGCAATGGGCAGCTCCTGCTCTGGGCTCAGCCTAGGAACCATGGAGCCAAGCTGCCATACACTTAGTGGAAATCACTGCATCTCTACAGTCCCTGCAGTTCTCTCCTCAGCAGCCCCCAAAATTCCACTGACGAAAAAAGAAATGGGGAGGGGAGAGAAGGAGTCAGAAAAACTATTGTGTTCCCAGGGAGGGAAAAAGATGAACAGCTCTATTTAGCTTATCCAGCTTTGCTGATGTCAATCACTTCTCTCATTTTAAACAGGAAAGACACCACTTTAGTCCACCTGTTCCATTATTTATCATGCTATGCGTTTCCCATGAATTGTCACTCATGCAAAACCTGTACATTGTAAGGGGACACCCTAATATTTTTAATGACCTTAAGCAAAGTGATTGACACTAGACACCAGTGTCAGATGTTCTGGTGACGCAACATGTTCTCCTAGCAGCAGGAAAGCTTCCTGCCGTGATTAAGTGAGGGCTATGGAAGTGCTAAAATGTGTTGTCAGCTTTCCTCTGATGCAAGTGATTTTATTATAGCGTCTGGTAACCATGGAGTGTGGCAACGCAAATACTGACCCCAAACATCCCCTCCTGCACATATAGCTCACTCTATTTAAAACACAAGGTGCAGCTTGCAAATCCAGGGATAAGTTATGGATGTAACAAGCTTAAACCATGGAGGGCAGAGGAAATGGTGGCACCTAAGCCAGAATTCCTGGGTGGTTTCAGCAGGAGAAGTATAGGGATCCAGGATGAGCTGCAGAAGGAACCCCCTGCAGCACCTCTTTGGCAGGTGGGCTCTGCAGCAGCATCACCAAAACTGTCCTGGCTGCCAGAGGCTCTGAGGGCAAAGAGAAGACACAGGCCTGTCTCACCTTGGTAGTGGAAAGCAAAAATAACGCCCTTCTGAGTCTGGAGAAAGTAAGGAGGAAATTAAAAGAGAGGAAAAATAGAAAGAGGGCTCCATGCAACCCCTTTGCCTTCTCATACACACCAGGGTGGAAACCTGTGACTCAGCTCAGCACCACCTGTCCTTCAAGGAGAAATCATGTTCTGGTTTGCTTCAATTTGGGACAAGCCTCTCAACAATCCATTAACTGAGAAAAGTTGGAAGACCTCTACAACACAAGAGTTGCAGAATCAACACCTCAGCCACAAGTGGGGGACACCTGGCACCTGCTTTTCATGAAGATTTGTAATCCCAAAGCTCAGTCAGCAAACACTACACATAGCTTTGCTTCCACAAGTTATTATTAATAGTTATGTCTCAAACTGACTGTGACAGTGAGTGTCTGCAGAACTGTCTGCTATGATTTTTCAATAACAGAGCTGTTAATCAAGCTGCAGAGGGTTGGACTATCAAACCAAAGTCCACAGGCTGCAGAGGTTTTTGTAAGAGATCAGCAGTACATGTGTTCACAGTTATTGTCACAGGGGTTGTTCTACAAAAATAAAAATATAAAGTAGTCAGAGTTGAAGATACAAGCTATCTTGATAGCAATAAAGAAATATTTTCTAAAGGTTCAGCAGCACTGGATATTATTTTAATGAAATTTATTTTTTAATTTTATAGCAAAATAATCAAAAGTGCTAAACCTGACCACTTAATTTACAAAAAAAGTCTCATGTTTTAAGCTATGATCATACCTTGTTATTTATGTTAAACAATATAATTACACATTTCTACTGATTTCTATTCAATACTGAAACAAAATCAATATTAGTTGGTTTAAAAAAGGGGGAAAGTACCACAGGTATTGGGATGGGGAAGTTACATAAAATATAAGAATCAGCTTATTGAGAAAATTGCAATGTGTTCTTATTGCTTTTTTTTTTTTCAGCTACAGTTTAAGTCCCAGATACTCTGGCCATAAGCTTGTAGTCACTTCAAATGCTATGACTTCTCCTTTGGTCAAATGTCAGTGTTTTAAGGAGACCTCTGGCATTTCAAGTCAATTCAAATTACTTTCTCAGTTCCCACACGTTCCCTTTCCAACACATTTTTCAGCATGTTGTAGAGTGCAGTTAGGATGGTTGCAGTCATGTGACACAGTTTTCTGTGAAGGAAAAATGGGTTTTCCTCTGTCTTGAAAGAATCACTACCAAGTCTGCAGTAAGAAATATATTGAGAGCACTTGCAGAGTTGCTACAAGTATTTCTTAATCCATTCAATTTTCATTTCAGTTTGTTTCCACAGTTAAATTAAAACCTGCAATCTCTCCTACTGATAAATAGCCAAGTTGACTTACAAAGGTTCTGCCTTCTGTCCAGCCTTCTCCTGGCTGCCTTTAGCCAAACAAGGTTCGCTGGTTTGCCACGAGCGCTGTCTGGCTCTCCCGCCTCTTTGCTTTCTTCTTGTGCTGCCTGATCTTCCAGCACACGGCGCTGGAAGCCAGCAGAACGAGTCCTGAGGACAAGAGGACCAGGCCAAAGACGGAGATGATGGATCCATGGGAGTTGAAGATGTATGCCACGGCAGTGACCACGGTGCCGGCGATCAGGATGACCACGCCGAAGGGAATGGTGCAGCGGTAGCAGGAGAGCTCTGCTCCCCCCGTGGCTGCCGTCAGCTGGCACTCACTGACCAGGGGAATGGTGGTTATCACACAGTCATTGTTGTTACTCTTCTCTGTGGGCACAGAATCAGGGTGCTTTGGGGTGCCCAGGATCTCTTTGATAGGCTCGTTTGTCATCTTGATTGTCTTGACTCGGCCCGTTCTTAGGCTAGAGCAGGCTCTGCTGAGCTCGTGCTGCACTGTGGAGAGAAGAGCATGAGTTCTACCAATAATTACCAATTATTTATAAGACAAATGGGGACACAGAAGTATCCCCTTGGGATCACAAACAACCAGACATTCAGGCCCCACAAGGAGTTATGCACAAGATCAACAGTGACATGACTGATTGTGAAGGATCTGAATCACTTTTTGTAGTAGTCAACAATATGTATGTAAGTTCTGGAAATAACAGAGTCACAGACCAAGACAGACACCAGCATTAAAGTGTTGTGGGCCAAATCTTACATTAAGTTACATCCTAAAGTCAGTATTTCTGGACATAATTTAGATTTCAATGGCATTATGTTTTCTCACAACAAGGTGAAGTTCACACACAGTTTTGATTTTCGCTTACAGACTTTTCACACAGTTTCTTTATACACCTACACACAAAATATTACACAGATTTGCTCCACTGCACATCCCAATAACATGGTCAAGTACTAGCCCAGCAAAAACCAGGATGAACAGTGAGCTCTTTCTCAGTGCAAGTGCTACTTAGGGAAAAAATTCAAATCGTCATGACAAGGTGTAGATGTGGGGGGAGTGGGGATGCAAACAGATTCCTGCACTCAGCTCAGCTCAAGGCTAGTGAACCTCCATATCAATGCCAGACTGACAGCTTGCCATTTACACTGGCTTCAAGCAAAAGCAACAGGTCTCGTAAATCCATGAAATTACATTCCTGTTACTGTGGGAGGTAGATTTACCATCATATTCACTCATCTCAGATACAGCAGGTTGTTTTCCTCCTGTTTCCAGACCGTAAACACACTCTCAGTCCTGATGGCATGCTCAGTTTAACTGCATCTGCACAAGACACAAATACCTTCTGGCTCTGGGCCCAGGGAATAATCAGAGCCCACCTGCTCAGAGCAGGAGGAGCTAATAGCTCTCCACCATTCCAGAGCTCAGCCTTGTCTCTGGGGCTCTGGTGATGTGGGGTGACTCTGGGGCCTGCAGTGAGCTTTGCCAACACTGAGGCTGCCATGGATGTGCTGTCCTGGACCCAGCTCAGTGCACCCCAACACACACTGCAGAGATTGGGACACTGGGGAGCCACTGGGGAGCCACTGGCTGTCCTGCTGTGAGCAGCTCCCAGGACTCCTCCACCACTCTGGCGTGGGCTGTGCCTCTGTTGCTCTCATGAGCAGCATGATATGCAGCTCAGAGAACAAGGAAGAGCGTTGGCAATGCAGTAATGCTTTTATCACTTTTATCACCTTCACATCTGTGACTAGGAAGTTAATTGCCAGATACTAGTATTCTCCTTTTCCTTTCCCACCACTCCACCCTTGTTGCTAAGATATATTCGCTCATTGTGGAGAGCCCTTGGTTTTATATCTCAGTACCTCCTATAACCGACTGTGGGTTTTACAAGAAAGAGGATTTCACTCTTTTTAAAAAAACACAAGCACAAACAGGCTAAATGCTGGATATAGAATGTTTGCATACAAAGTCCCCTTGAAGCCTCAATTGAGAAGAAAAGCCCAGATCTGGTTTGCTAAAGCTTTTGTTCTACTTCTCTGGGAAGAGTGCTCAGCTCTCTGTTGTATCTGCTGTGCAGAGCTGCCTGTGGGCTCAGGCCTGCCAGAGGAGCCTGTCCTTGCTGGGCACACACAACACACCCAAGCACACACAGTGACAGCCCAAGAGGCATCAGGCACACACTGAAACACACTGATCATCAGGAAAAACTTTTATACTGTGAGGGTTACTGAGCACTGGAACCTAGTGAAGTTTTGGAGCCTACCCTTGAGATAATCCAAAGCCATCTGCACAGTCAGCATTGCCTAGGTGCTGAGCAACAGGGGGTTCAGACCATATGACCCCCAGAAGTCCCTTCTAACCATGACCATTCGATGATTCTGCCTGTTTCTCTGAGAGTACTCGGTATCTCCAAGGGCAAGAAAGGGATTTGTTCAGTGCTTATCAGACAAAACAAGTGTTATATCTGTGCTGACACCTCAGATATCCTAAATTCTCCTAGGTTCGGTAGCTGTGTTCTTTGAATCATAAAGCATGGGTAAATGCCCTTTAAATCAGACAGAAAGAGGCCAGGAAAGCCATGGGTTTGCTCTCGAGTGTCCTTAATCTGTACCCATGTGGATCTGAGCCCAAGTTCTGCATTTTCAATAGTGATTGACACAGCAGAGAGACGTACACTGGTGCCATTATGTTGCTGCACTACTTATCCATAAAACATTACAGAAGTTCAGCATAACATAAGAATGGGGTCCCCAAATGTCACCTTTTTTGATCTTACCATTCAATTAGTGTAAAATTCTATTATCAAATTTGAGGGAGAAAAAATTTAAATATTTTGCATATAAAAGGTCTGTTGGCTCAAATACACTGCAATACCTATACAAAAGTCCAAGTACTCTAACAGTCACTGAAATAGGGAAACTGCCAAATAATTTGAAAAAGCCCATAATAAGCATTATTATTCTGAAAAATTTTAACCTTTAATCAAAATGTATTTACTCCTGTCTCTAAAGTCCTTGTCCCTCTGCTTCAGCTGCATCTTCAATGAGCATTAAATTCTCCTAGACCTCCTATACAGAGATTTGTGAAGAAAGGAGATATATTTATACAGTCAAATTTAACAGGAATAAAAAAATATTCTAATCTATAATAATTAAGTCAATGGCAAAATATCTGTTGATTTCTGAGGAGCATGGTTTTTTTGTGGAATAGGATGCAAGAAGGCAGGCATTTATATAAAACAAATAAACAATCCTCTACTGAAATACTATTAAATTAAATAAACAACAGAACCTATCTGAAGTGTGAGCAAAGGTATCTAGCCCTAGAAAAAAGGGCACTGGATCCTTATTGCCAGCAAAGTCACTTCTGACTTAAGCCAACAGGTGATTTGGTTCAAGTTTCAGGGTAAGAAATTTAGGCAAAGATACCCAGCAACACCAGCATCCTCTCACTAATCATACCACAAGTACTATCTTAAGGAGCTGCTTTGAGTTGGAGGAAGAATGTGCTTCTGTGGCAATCCGTGGCTAACCCTGGGTAAAGGGGAGGGAAAAATTTTAGCCACTAATAAGGGTAAATTTAGATTTATCAAAAAGATATTAAATCCATCAGCTTGCACACCTACCAGATCCAGGAGAAATCCATGGTAAAAGAGTGCTGAAGATGTCTTGTGTGACAATTCAAGGCAGAAAGAGCTGCTCAAGTCTTTGAAGTGTCAGATATTGCTGAATGATGAACTGGAGGTGACAATATTCTAGCATGGAAGTTTCCTACAAGAAAAGTTGTTGGATATTTATCAGCTTCTTAAGAATAAAAGTCATGAGTGTAAAGCTTCTGCTGTGGGCTGACTCCTGCTCCTAACCTAACCAAAGCAGGAGATGTTCTCCCTCTGGCTCTCCTAGTGGCCTCTGCCTCTTTCCTTGGAAGCAGCCACCCATTTCTAGCCCAACGTAACATTTTCCTTTGATGCTGTGACGTCCCAGTAGTGAGTATCATAATGCAGTCAAGTCCCCCAGAAAGAGCCAGGAGAAGGCAATGCCGAAGAAATACTGTAGATAAAAATCTTATTTAACTTAATTTCTATTGCTCACTTCACCTGTGTGAATAATGATTCAGAATACATGGGAGTTTGTCTCTTCTATGAGTCCAATTTCTTTGAGCAAATCACTCCATCTCCCTGCTCCTCAGACTTCCTAGCTGTGAACTGACTGTGACAACACACCACTAAAAAAACCTGTTAGATCTCTTCCACTATAAGAAAACCTAAGTAATATAATCCCAAAAACTCAGAATAAAAAAAGGCAGACTTACACAGTCCAAGAACTCTCAGTAATAAATACAAGTCCACTATATTTACTATTGTTCATTTCTGTTCTTGGATTTTTAAAAACAAGATTCTTAACTCCAAGAGGGACAAGGAGGACTCTGCAGCAGGGCAGTGACAACTCTGCAGAGAGCAGAGCAATGGAAATTGTTATCAACTGCAGAAACAGCTGTGAAGTCACCAGGCAGCTGGGCAAAACTCACGAAGCAGCAGATTTATGTTGCTAATCTTATTTGACACCCTTTCTAGAAGTGCATGATCAGGGAAGATTATTTCAACATGGAAGCAGGAGTCCTAAGTGGGGATGAGAGTAAATTCACAAGAATAAGTTTGTATAACATTAAACTTTAAGGGTTTTTCTAAGTTATTTAGATCCTACTAACATTTCACAAACACAAACATTTACAGGCACAAACTGCTGCTGTTCTCCAGAAGATCCTTGGAATAAGCCTGTGACATTGCCAAAGTATATTTAGCTGATTATTGATGTTAGCTAACAATAAGGAAGTCTACTTGTTTATCTCATTGATTATATTCTTTTCCACAGGACCTAGCAATTAGTTAACTTTCTGAAAAGTTTAGAGGGAATGCAGGAAAAAAAAATCCTGACTTCAGATAAATAATCTAGATTTCATTAAAACAAATGCAGACCTCTGAAATGTGCTTGCAGTCAACTTCTACTTGGATAACAGCAAGGTTACATTTGTTTGAAAGCTCTTCCCAGCACAATTGTGCCCCCTAAGACACTCTGCCAGCATCTTGCTTGAAAAAAATTATTTGCTAGTCAGTTATTTATTTGTATTTATCCCAGACTGCACACAGTTTAGATATTTTTATTTTAAATTAATGTCTTTATAAAAAATTCTGACAGAGCAACCTTAGAGTTGAAATTTTTTCCCTTCTCCTTCCCCCTCTCACCACAAAACTGAGAAGCAGAAACACATGAAATCTCTACATGAAGCTTCCAGCGTTTTAACTGTGAATCATTTCAATGTGGTGCTCTCTCAGGAGGCTTCCTACATATGGAGTATCTCTGTGCGAGAGCAAAGAGCTACTACAACCCTTTCCTCTTTTTCATATTTTACTTATAACCAGTGGGACACATTTGAGTTTTCTGCCTTCAAGCTCTGGACCAGATTCTCTCTATTTTACACAACACTTCAGGCACCCTTTTTTGCTTATGTAAAATCCCAATAAATCATAACGCTCACACTTCACACTATGGCTATGCATTAAAGTGACTACGAAAAATAGCCTCTGTCCCGAGAGGAGAGCCTGAATTCATTCAGAATTCAACAGACTACAGTAATCCTCAACACAATCCCGCAGCTCTCCCCCAGGTGAACACTCCTGGAAATACACAACCAGAATTTGTACTTACAAGACTCCAGGACCATGTCCAGAGCTACAGAGGCAGCAAAAGAACACATTGCCTCCAAACCAGCTGCCTCAGGATGCAGTTTCTCTCACCAAGTTTCTCCCACCAAGTTTTTAAGTAAAATCATGAACAGATTTAAACTCTCGCACCTTTTTCGTTTTCCCGACATAGCCGGGGTGTAGGATGGGCGCCAACCCAACCCCTCCACAAACCAACTCTGTTATGTGCCAGTTGCAAAACTTTCAAACGCGCCTGCTGCACGCCACACACGCACCTGGGCTAAAATCCTCCGTGTCACGCCTGTCCCTGAGTACCTCTGCAAGAGAGCAGAGAGGCGAGCAGGCGGGGAAAGCCCTGTGCACGAACAGCCCTGCGGTACCGGGGAGGCAGCGCTCCGGGGACACCGACCCGCACCGGGAGCGGCTCCGGCTGCCGAGCCCCCCAACTGCTGGAAGCGGGGACAGCCCTGTGCCGGAGCGGAGCCCGAGCAGCCCGGCCGCCCCGGGGACCCGGGCACGGGAGCCAGAGCCCCGCGGGCACGGGAGCCGGAGCTCCACGGGCACGGGAGCCGGAGCTCCACGGGCACCGGGAGCCGGAGCTCCGCGGGCACCTGAGCCGGAGCTCCACAGGCACGGGAGCCGGAGCCCCGCAAGCACCGGGAGCCGGAGCTCCACAGGCACGGGAGCCGGAGCCTCGCAAGCACCGGGAGCCGGAGCTCCGCGGGCACCGGAGCCGGAGCCTCGCAGGCACCGGGAGCCGAAACTCCGCGGGCACCGGAGCCGGAGTTCCACGGGCACCGGAGCCGGCGGGGGCGCGGCCGCGGGGCGTGGGGTCCGGGGCTGCCAGCGAGCTGAGCCGTGCCAGTCCATGCCACAGGCTGGGCCAGTGTGCCACAGCATGGGCTAGTGTGCCATAGCACGGGCCAGTGTGCCATAGCATGGGCTAGAGTGCCATAGCACGGGCCAGTGTGCCATAGCATGGGCTAGAGTGCCATAGCATGGGCTAGAGTGCCATAGCGAGCCGTGCCTAGCGAAGCCGAGCCGTGCCTTACCTCCCGGAGGCCGGGCGGGACTGCGGCTGCCACCAGCCCGCAGGCAGCATAAGAGGGGATGCAGCTCGCCGCACAAGGGACTGTAAACAAAGTTCTCGGTGAGAGCGAAACAATTAAGGGACCGGAGCAAATTCAGCGGCGGGAGCTGCGGCCGGCGGGGCGGCAGCGGGACGGTCCCGCTGGGCGGGGGGGCCGGGAGGGTGTCCGGGCTGGGCCGGCCAGGGGCCGGGCCTCTCCCTCCGCCCCGCGCTGCTCACAGCCCGGCACAGGGATGCGCACGGCGGGGACAGCACCAGGGCAGGCTCCGCATCGCGCCCTGCCCGCGGCAGGTCACACACACGGGCCGGGGGCGCGTCCTGCAGCCCCCTCTGCCCTCCCGCAGCCCCTCTGCCCTCCTCCAGCCCCCTCTGCCCTCCTCCAGCCCCCTCTGCCCTCCCGCAGCCCCTCTGCCCTCCTCCAGCCCCCTCTGCCCTCCTCCAGCCCCCTCTGCCACCTTCCAGCCCCCTCTGCCCTCCTCCAGCCCCCTCTGCCCTCCCGCAGCCCCTCTGCCACCTTCCAGCCCCCTCTGCCCTCCTCCAGCCCCCTCTGCCCTCCCGCAGCCCCTCTGCCCTCCTCTAGCCCCCTCTGCCACCCTCCAGCCCCCTCTGCCCTCCCGCAGCCCCCTCTCTCCAGCTCCCTCTGGCCTCCTGCACACCCAGCCCCGGGCGGGTGTTAGGGCCATCCCGGCTGCAGCAGTGTGGGTGAGGGTCAGTACCTGTCCTGAGCTCGCTGGGTGGCCGTGCTGGGTCACTTGGAAGCACAGTCCCTGCCAAAGTCCAGATGAACCCTAGCTCAACTGCTCAGGAATTAAAGGAGGAGGAATATAGCTCCAGATGGCATTCTTAAAGGATAAAGTTTTATGTATCATTTAGAAATATTTTAACTGGCTTTTCTAAGCTTTAATTACTTATTTTTGCAGCACATCAAATACTACAGGGGTTTGGACAGGATGGGTGTGGGTGTGTGTTAATTTTTTACCATGATTTCTGTTACTTCAGACAAAAAGCAGACAAATTATGCTTTTAAGTCTTGTAAAAGGACATATATGAATTTTGTGGTTAAGCTCAAACAAAGTTTATATTTAAAAGGCACTATTTTATCAATGATTGATAAAAGAACAGTGCACCAGATGTATTTAATCAGCCACTCTGAAAGCATGCATGTACTTTTGACTCCCAGGGTGAAATCCTGGCCTCACAGAAATTAATGGCAAAACTTCCACCAACTTCACAGGGGCCAGGATTTCATCCTGTGTGTTGTTAAGAACTGCCCAGTGACAGAGACCCCGCCAAGGGTTCATCTCCTCCAGACAAATCAACCAGGTTCTGGAAAAGCTTCACAGCTTATGCAAGAAACTGTCATTTTTTCCCCCACTTGCTGGTGCTCCCATCAAATACATCAGCATTTGAGCAGAAATGACAAAGAAACTGGATCTGAGGAGAACTCCATTAAGCAGGATCTCCTGACCATTGTCTGGTCCTTCCCAATGCAGGCAGCCATGTCTGTAATATCTTTATTAGACTTTGCAAGTTCCACCTCAAAAATAACCAGGTTTCCCACTCTTCCTGTTGGAGACTACAAGCCTTATTCTTTTGATATCTAGGAACTTTGTTTTTAGCTGAATGGGTTCATAGACAATTATACATGGGCAAGTAAATGTTTGGCTGAAGAAGCTACACTCTCTTTTGGCAATTAATCCTCTAATGCCCTAAGAGGGAGAAATTAAACTCTCTCAGGCTTGTTTTCAATCATTTTTTCAGATGTCTTACCAACTTCTTCCATGGAAGTGCAACTATTTTCCTGGCCTACTAGAAATACTAACATTTCAAAATTTTCTCCTGATTGTTCAGGATGTCTGTTTTTTCCCCCAGTATCAGTTTCAT